CAGATGTATTCACATCAACAGAACTTAGCTCAGAGATGGGGATAGAATATAGGACCTCATACCTCAAAACCATAAGGCCTTCCCACTCTTCCCAACATGTTCCCTGCACATGAGCAGCAGACTTTTAATGGTTACTCGAGATAGATACTAAAAGTGAAGAATTACTGGATGCCCTAAGCTAGTACAGAACACAAAGAGATGGAAGAATAAAGTTAACCAAAGCTGTGCAGCCTGTACAAACCAGTCTGGTTTACCTTGAATGTGAAATCAAGGTAATACAATGAGTCAGTTCACCTGAAATTAAGAGAAACACATACATGGCTTCAATGGTTCTTACACTGCCAATGTAGTTAAAAGGAAGAAAATTAATGATATAAAAAAGTAAAACTGGATCTGCTACTAAATGGTTCTTATTTTCAGGAAGATTTTAAAAAACATGTATTTTTAGATATAAAGTACTTAGAAGTTTTTGGAACATTTTATTCATGTAATTCTTAGATCTATACAACAGCATTAGCCAAACACATGTACATACACACGTACATAGTGATATAAATAGACAGATAAATATAGGGTTTTCAAGACATACTTCCTTGTCTTCTATTGAAGCCAACATTAAATCTTTGCTGTTGAAAATCCCAAAGGTAACACTTTTATTAAAAGCTTACATTTATTATAAACGTAAAATAGTAAATTACAGCTGTTCTCTGGCTCTCTTTGTTTTATTATAATGGAATAAATTTTGCCAGAAGCACATGTTAGAGATATGCAAATAGTGAGTAACACCGCATGGACAGAAGTTGCAGAAAGCAAGCGATTTACAAAGGGATGCTTCATCTGGTTTCCTTCTGAACATCCATCACTTTTTATTTAAAAAAAAAAAAAGAGCCCAAATACTGAGTTCTTGATAAAGAATTTTCCAATACAATCAGACATATGGTGAGTGTGCGAGCACGTGTTGGAGGAGGAGATGGTGGCTCAATAGATTAGTCATTTGCCTTTCACCTCTGGAAGCATAGTTAAACTCAGTCCTGACCAGAGCTGCACAGTATATTCCAGATGGCTAAAGTGGGCCTAATTAAAATGAATCCAGTGATGTCACCTCAGATCTAAGTGAATTGCATGCACCACTCATTTGGCATTTTGGCAATGTCAGTTCACAAATGAAATAACCAGATTAAAATCCTCCCTTAAGTCTTTCGGGACAACAGTCACACTGCATGGAAATACATGCTATCATAACTAGAAAATGCACTTTTATAATTGTATTATCTGTTGTTTTAAATTCTAATTAATGCATTATTCTAATACAAAGAAACATTAAATGAGACTTGCATGTGAGGTAAATCAGTGCAGCAACATTTCAGTTAGATGATTGAGTGAATATACACTGATTTAAACCAGCTGTGAATCTGGCATCACAATTTAAAAAAAAATCTTTATTTTAACAAAATGTTTTTCCTTTTATATAGACATAAATCAAAACAATACAAATCCCAATTACAAAGAAATACTCAAAAGTGCAAAGTATTGTTAACTCAAACACTTTACACAAAACTATTCTTTACAATTCGTCTCTAAGTTAAAAATCAGCATTTTCTAACCCTCACAGTTTGGGAAAGTGTGATTGGAAGAAGTAGGGAAGACCTTGTGAACTCTGTGTACCATTTTAGCCATGAGTCTAATAATATCTGTGTATTCTGAGAACCTGTGATGTAGGGTAGCTTTTTCTTCGCCACCTAATTTAAATTCACAAATATTTTGTTTCCTAGCAAGGGTGTTTTCCCCCCATGTGAAATAATGACTTTTTCGTGTAATATAATACACTCAGGAATTGTATCCTCATGTATATTGTGAGGGTTGTTTTTTTTTCTAAGTTTGTTTTTTCTTCCAACATTTTTTCAATGGATAGTGAACTGCTGGGCCCACAGAGATCTCCAGACCACCAGCTCATGTATTTGAAAGGCATCTGTTTATTTTTAAAATGCAAATGCAGCCTACCTCAAAGACTGACTTGCAAGAAATGAACAATCTGAACAAGTCAAGAGGTTTCCAATCAGGAGCTGTGTTCCTCCTTTATATCAGGCTATGATCACTTGCTGTCAAAACCACTTAAACAATATCCTGGAATCTGAATGAAGTCCCCCACAATTAAAATGAGCAGGATAATCCTGCAAGAATTATTCAGGCAAATCATTTTTCACACAGTTTAAAGTAATGATAAGGTCATTTACAAAAGAAATCAGTGCCTTTGAAATGCTGACTTGTAGACAGAGGACTGCCTGGAGGAGGGCCATAGATAACAGTGAAGACTGGCCTCCTAACACTACCCTTGCAGTCTTTGGAACTGATTCTGATGAAGAGAAGGCCCAATAAGGTTAATACCCCTACTTTGATCTCTGTCAAAGCGTACCAGCAAGAATTAATTTACATTTCAGATGAAAAAGGTTGACAGCATGAAAAGGCATCTTGTTTCTGGTATGTGAATGTGCTGTAATAGATCGGGAATTCTGAAAGGAAGTTCTGAGGAAGCTAAAGGGATAAGCCGAACGGCTGCTTTTATTGGGAAAGAGATGAAAGGAAAACAAATTTCAATATGCGCTGTTCTGTAGAAACATGTAAGCCAAATGCTTCCTAAATTTCAAGGCCTGCTTGAGCTGGGGGGTGGGGTGGAGGGAAAGGACAGGGAAGTACATATATTTTAATTATATGGTTTTGCTAATATCTGGATCACAAATGCAAACAATCCATCTCACTGCCTGAAATGGCTCATTTAAAAAAAAAAAAAAAAGGTGATCATACTCCATTGTACTGAAAAGCTGCCTTGAACTAAACACTTACATTATAAGATGTGCAGGGAAGGGAGAGATTTGGAGTTGCTTTTGTCTCCATGTCACTAGGCACTTGGACAGTGCAATGTAAACAACAGAAAGACTGTCAATGTATTTTAAAACCTGGAAAATGGCCACCATTACCAAGCATAGTTTTGATTGGAAACACAGAACAATTAGCATGTAGAGAAGAGAAAATGACACAAGAATAATTTTCAAATAAGAAGTCCTAGATATAAGTTTCCAAAGGCAGACAGAAATGTGTTGAGGGTTATTATTATTATTATTTGAGTGCAGCGCCAAAGATAGGAGGAGCAGACAGACTAATTAATACAAAGGTGCATTGTGTCATTCTTAACCCTATAGTCCTAATGCTTATTCACCCAGACTGATCACTGAAATCGTCGAGTGCCAGGTTACAAAGGAAGACAGTGTGTATGTTGGTGGGAACAGTGTTAACAGCATTCCTCCAGCATTAGGTCCAAAGGGCTCAACAGAAGTGTCCAAATTCAGGGCTATGTGTACACTGCCTCTGCTCTGTGATGTTCAATGCAGTGTCTAAGAGATGGCAGGAAGGAACACAGCTCTGAATCTCTCCCATGTGTGCAAACAGCAGAATAGATCAGTTGCTTTCTCTGAAGAGCTAGAAATGAGCATGCATCTCCTACACACCGAAGAAATCCGGCTGGATAAAACTCTAAGGCAGAATGTCTCCTACAGTCTCCAAGTGATACTGCTACACACCAGCTTCCT